AAAGGGGTGGTCACTGCGGTGGGGGCGACAGCAGGTGTGGGTGCACTATTTTCGGCATGCTGAGGCATGTCCTGGTTGGTTACTTCCATCTGTGGAGACCAGGGGGCAGAGCTGGGATCTATCACAGGCTTTGGGGCCACCGGCGGAGGAGTCTTGTGTTTCGACCGTGAGGACTGGAGGAAATTACAAGCCTCAGCGCCAAGGCTGAGGTAGTCTTCCTCGGGTCCTGACTCGAAACCCATCTTCTTGGAACTCATGTTGAGTAGGTTCAGCAGATCAGGATTCGGTGACATCTTTGGTGTCTCTTTAAACGTGAACATGGGCTTGGCAACATTTCTCCTCTTTGAATCCAGAAGGCCCGACCTGATCGCCGGGGTGGCAATGCGCTCATCACGGGAGGCGATCTGCTCTCCTTGGCCTTGATTAGTCCCAGTCATTGCAGGAGAGTACGGTGTCGCCGCCATGTTCTGAACCAAAAAGGGCTTTGCGGTGCGATTGCCGAGAGAACGCTGCGCTTCGTGGCTTTGATGTTGCACGGGGCCGTGCTGACCTTGGTGATACGTTTGCTGTTGCTCGTACGACTGCTGCTGATACTGTTGGTAATGCTGTTGTTGTTGGTACTGCTGCTGCTGCTGCTGGTATTGCTGGTATTGCTGCTGCTGGTTCACATCCATGTACGCGTGGTTCTCCACGGCGGGCTGCGTGTAAGCCGCTTCCACTTTCTGTGCCCCTTCCACGGGCATCCCCTGGCGCCGCAGCTCTTCGTGCTCGGCCGCAATCTCGTCCATTCGCTGGCGCCTCTGGGCGAACATGAGGGCGCCTTTGCCCTTGGTTTCGGGCAAACACTCCATCGGACTTTGCTTCTGCTCAACGTCAAGTAGGCTTTTATCCAAGCAGATCGTCAGTACGCCTTTGCCACTGCGGGCATTCGTGAGGAAATGCGTCTCTAAATCCGACCGGTCTTGATCAGCGAGCGTGAACTCTAGAACATGAACTCCACCCTGGGTGCTGTCGTCGTCCTCCTCCTCTGTGCTGTCGTCTCGCTTGTCCTCTCCCGTGCCGTAGCTCACCAAGGTGTACTTTTTCGCTCTCTGACGGTGTTTCTTGAACATCAACAGGCCCTTGTTGTTCGGGTTGGGCTGCGCGGCACTAAGGAGAAGGGCGATCCGCTTACATTTGGACTTGGCCTCCTTCACCTGCTTCTCGGAGAGACTCTCGCTGCGCCTGAACCCTGCGGGGAGACACATTGATTGACAGGTTGTCTGGTCAAGGAAAGTCAACGATTAAAAAAAA